CATATGGCACTCAGAATCGTCAAGGACTCAAATTAAGGATGTTCATTAAAATCAAATTTATAAATTTAAGAAAATTATTTTCACATTCACACTCCCACCTTTGATTCACTCCATCGGGTTTTGGTAATGCAAGAATCTCAGAACAGTAGCACATCTTCCACATGCAGCAATATCTAGTTCAAATAGGACGTTTGCTATGCATTTAACTACAACTACTTGATTTTTGATATTATAACACTTTCTCTAGAAGTTACTTGTATTCACACTTCAAGAATGAGAACTGAGAATGAAAAGAAAGTATAATAAAACAAAGAATGGAGATGAGATGACAGGAAAACTATATACCATTTGCTTTCAATAAATGGAAGAATAATACAAATACAGTAAACATGAGGAAGTAAAAAGAAAAAAAGTTTTACCCTATTTAAAAAGTATATTTAAATATGTAGGAAATTGTTCTTATAGTTCTGATTTCATGGAAATATATCAAATATATTTGTACACAAGTATTTCTTCCCTCTTTGTTCTTGTACACTCCTGATAGGTGAAAGAGATTACATTATAGTTTATTCTCTCACTTGCTGGTGCTCTCTCTCTCTTGCAATTCCTTAATTCTACACATAACAATGAAACTTCCTCTGAGGTAAGCAACTAGTGTTCAATAGTCAAGGCATTTATTTGTGCCAACACATGGACTGATTAATCCTGGATTTCCTACTAGCAGCTGGAAAAGATGGATATACAAGAGAAAAAAAGTGTATCCTAAAAATGATTTCAACGTATTGAATGCCATTGCCTAAAACTCTGAAGATTCTCTCATAAATTAGATGTGTTCCTACTGAGTCAGGAAGAGCAGTTCCTTGAACCTGAGTCTCTTACAGCTTACAGGAGTGCTCTAGCCATTACAGACAGCATCAAAAGTTTCAGAGAGGTAGCAGTGTTAAGTTTGTAACTAAAAAAACTTAAAAAATAATGAATAGTCTTGCAGCACCTAAGAGACTAACAAAACATGCAGATGGTATCATGAGCTTTCATGGACACAACCTGATTCTTCAGATGAATGAAGTTAAGGAATCCAGTTTCCAAATAAATAGCAGAGAAAGAGAAGGGATTGGAGAGAGTAGGGAGGTGGAGAGAGAAGGAAAAACAAGGGAAACATTACAGCATCAGTCTTTCTCTTGTGGCTTCTTCTTCCTGCCCCTAGTTGGAGATATTAGAGTATCTGTAAATGATACATTATTTTCTAGGTGAGTGGAACACTGACTACACTGCAGATCAGTGTTCACCTATGTAGTGGTCAATTGCGGAAGAACTTTGTACGTGCTAGTTTAAAAATAAATAAACTAATTTTAATAAATTAATGGAGACTGCCTACCTCCCAGAACTGGAAGGAACCTTGAAAGGTCATTGAGTCCAGTCCCCTGCCTTCACAGCAGGACCAAGTACCATCCCCAACACATTTTTGCCCCAAATAGCCTCTGCAAGGATTAAACTCACAACCCTGGGTTTAGCAAGTCAATGTTCAAACCACTGAGCTATCCCTCCCATCCTATAGCGAGGCCTGCATTCTTTCCCACCTTTCCCTTTTCCCTATATCTGATGAGCCAGAAGCAAGTCTTTGGGAGCATACGCCACTTAAGATAAGCATTGTTGTAGCAAGAACAAGTATGAGATAAGGGTAAAAGGCAAGAACGCATAAACAATTCTGTTTACCCTACCATACTGATCACGTAAACAGGGCCAAAGGACAAGAAGATCCAGATCAGAACCAGATCAGAACCAGATCGATAACTAACAGCTAAGCTCTACATCAGCACTAATGAGTAAGTCCTGGAAATTTCCAAACTGCCAAACAAGGCAGGAAAACTGTATTTAAAGACTATGTATTTAAGGCTGCCTCAGAGCCTAGCAAATTGGACTTCACCAATGGGCTTTGGGTACCAGCGCCTCGGAAGCTGAGACAACCTCCCACTTCGTCCGCAGCCTACCCGGGGTCCCAGGTTTGCAAGAAAGGATGTAAGATATGCCGCTTCTTTGTTATGTTGTTCTTCCATTTATGGGGCACAACTGTTAGCTGTCAGGAAATAAACTACTTGTATTTAACAGATACCTGTGTGGTGTCCTTTCTACTTTGGGAATTCAGTGTCGGACCTTAGACTTACTCTGGCCAGCTACAACCTAGGATAGGGGAGGCCCAGTTTAAAGTCCCTGCTCTGTTGGGAATCTGAGCAGGGCCTGGAACCTAAGTCTCACATATCCCAAGTAAGTGCCTTAGATATCAGCCTGTTGGCTATTCTGAGAGCTCTCTCCCATGAAAAATTCTGAGAGGTCTCTGAAGTCCTGGCAAAACGGAGATTATATTTACTTGGCAAGCCTTAGCGTTATACAGGCAGTCCCCGGGTTACGTACAAGATAGGGACTGTAGGTTTGTTCTTAAGTTGAATTTGTATGTAAGTTGGTACTGATACATATTGTAGGGGAAACTCTAGCCAAACATTTCTCCAGAGCTCAGTTTTATTCTCCCACACCTTACTTCCCTCAGTCCTTTATTCTCAAGCTGAGGTGTCTGCTGAGGAAAGCCGCTCCGCGTCTCCCTGGTCTGCTGAGGAGGGTGCTAGCTTCGCGTCTCTCTGGTCTGCTGGGGGGAAGCAGCTAGTGCTGAGTTGTCTCACCCCGTCTGTAAGTAGGGATCCGATGTAAGTCGGATCCATGTAACCCGGGGACTGCCTGTAGTTTATTTGGGGTATAACTATGTCCCCACTAGGAGAGATACTGATATAATTATAACCTCATACCCAATAGAAAGCATTATTTTGATACATTATCAGTGCATAGGCCAGGCCTAAGTTTATGGGACTTAAATCCCCTGCTTCATTTTAAAGACTCTAGGCATTTCACAGGTCATTCTATGAGTATGTATCTGATCTAACATGACCATTGGTTATTCTCAGGGATGAGTAGTTCTGTCTGGGTGAGCAGAGTTTTCTTAACCAAAACTCAACTCCCTTACCTCCCTCGGATATGCAATATTGATTTATTGACAGTCCACAGTCAGTCTGTCACAGGTTACTCTCTTCTGGTACTTAAAAGTAATTCTTGACTGGACTGAATATTGGTAAGGATTTGTAACAATTGATGAGTGAATGATAATGAAAATAAGGTAAGTACAGTTTGTATGGGAGTCACTGTATTAACTGTTTTAAGTCTCTAACCATACTCAATATGAATTAGAAGTACACAGAGGACTGAGCAGAACTAGACTGAGCTAAATGCTTGTGAAGGGAGAAATCCATTCCATCCATGTCAATTGTGAGTTTTCAGACTCTGTAAAGTTGGGGAGTAGATTGTTTGGGGAAGTTATTTACATTCTGAACCTAGCACAAAGGTGCTTGGCTGATGCACAGCCATCTCAAAAATACTATTTTAATAGGCTAGAAGAGTGGCTGTACCACATCTATGCCAGCTTCATGGGCCATTGTGGCCAGTATTCAATTTTTTTCCATCCACTGGTAGAATAAATTTCATTATGTGCACCAAGGCATGTGTGGATGTGTGCCACCAAAAGAAATTGGCAGCTGTGAACAGCTGTGGACGCTCTGCTAATCAGCTGGGTAGTGCCTGAATTTCTCCTGGGCAGCCCCTCTAAGTACTCAGCTTACTGGGAACACTGATTGGGGCCACTGGATCTGTCCTTGTTTTCCCCCAAACATTCTGGAAAGGGTTCATACTGGAGACACTGGTGCACAGACACCCAACATTAACACTTAGCCGAGAGGCTTTTCACACAATGTCAAAATCAGTACAACAAAACAAGAATTAACATGTCTCTTTTTTCATCTGTTTGTGTGATGTCTGTGTACCATCCATTTAACCAAGTTTGCTATTGTGCAGATTTTCTTTTGAGGTCTTAAGTGGGTGTTTTTTCTTTTTATACTAGCAGATGTACCTGGTGTTGCTCGGGTCTTTAACTGAAGGATTTAAAAAAAATGAAAAATACACGTGTTATTTCAATTATTGTATTTTTCACAAATGAGGGAAAATGAAGGCTGAAGTGAGAATTAGGAGGTGTGGAGGGGTAGAGGATAGATAGCTTATGGCAGAGGGTTGGGAGGTGTCAGGGCAAGGGGAGGGAAAGGGGGTAGCTCATGGAAAGGGGAGGGGGTGCTGAAGTCAAGGCAGTAGAGGGGCTCAGGACAGGGAGCTGGGAGGTCAGGGAGGATTACCAGGGCTGCCATTGGCAACAAGATTGGTGCTGCTCCAGCAGCAACTCCTCTCAGAGAGCTGGGGCAGCGCTTCTGTGTCAGCAGGTCCCCACAGTTGCCCTTCCAAGTGGCCTGTAGGCTATCTGGGGGAAGAGGCTCCGAGGACTGCTTCCTCTTGCAGCAGCCCCCCTAAAGCCTACAGACTGTCTGAGGGGGAAAGTCTTCAGGGGCTGCCCCCTCCTCCAGCAATCCCCGCCCCCCCTCCCCACGGCCTGCAGCCTCTCCATGAGGGGGGCAGACAGGATCCAGGTTTGGAGAAGAGGGGCTTCTTTTTTGTGTGCTGGCAGGCATGATGGCAGAGCCCCAGCTCTCCTGGCTGATCTCTTTGTGCTGCAGCTGCCCCCAATGGCCACACTCAGTGCAGTGTCCCTCCCCTTTCTGTGCCCCTTCCTTTTGTGTTCCTCCTCTCTCTGTTCCCGCACTTACCATGTTATGGGAAATAGTCCCATTCCTGTCACTTCCCATTTTCCAGGCACAACCAAACCCTGACTTTGGTTTAAGTTAGGGTAAGAGAAAGCCGTATATCAAATTTGGTAATCTACCTCTGACAGTTTAGGAGTTCTTGAACAAATGGACAAACAGATGCACAAACAGATACACTCTAAAATACATATATAGATTTTTGTAAACTATCTGCATATTCTTTAATAAAATATATTCCATACATCAATAGTTATGAATCTATAAATTGGAGGCTTTCAATACACATTAGCATTCTTATATTTGAGTTGTACTCACCTGGTTGGGAAAGTCAGCCTTCAGTTCAGTGATACTTTTACACCAATATTCTGCAGTTTTCTCACTGATGAGCTCAATGTTTAAGAAAGAGCCTTGACCTGGGCCATATATGGGGCCCGATGTAATTCCACGTATAATTCTTGGAGAAACATTGGTTACAATGTCCTGTTAAAACAATAAAAATACCTTTCAGATTGACTTACAAAGTAAAAACACAAAAGCCACATTCCTACAGTCTATTTATATGCTACAACATATTAATGAAAGGGAAAACATCCATTTAAAAACCTACTTCCATCCAAAAGGGTTATATGTACTTTTATTATACGTAACACATAAGATTAGAGGCTGGAGTAAAAAATATGTTGTTTTCCCCCCCCCTCCCCAGTCTGATTGCTTTGTGCATTGGTAAGTTGCAGATCTTCTCCTGCCCATGCTGATCACAGAAACTATGAGTTGTTACAGATTCTAGCAACAAAGCTTTGGCTCTTTAGCTCAAGCTGTAGCAGCTCATGCATTTAGCTTTGGAAGTCCTTGATTCAATCCCTGGTGTGTCAGTCAAGATGGTGGCTATCACATAAATCCTAGATGAGCCCACACTTACATGATGGCTGTTATCTTGGCCAACACACTGGGGATTGAACAGGTGATCTCCAGAGCTAAAAGCATGAGGTGCCTGAGCTAAGGAACAAGACTCTATAGCTAGAGGCTGTCACAACCCATCCTCCCCAAACTGGCAGAGAAGGCAACACACATTTGTCAGTGCATTATACAGAGTCAGTTTCATGGTTTCCTCTGCATTATCCGGTAGCCTATTATCTGTAAGTTACTTACATGCACAAGGTTGTGGTATCTTGTCCAAAGGGTGAAACTGACTAAACCATGTCTGAGCGTGTCTGTGGAATCCATTCCCCCAAACAAAGGTGCAGCTTGTAAACATTACTCTAGCATATAGACTACAATAATGTTCGGCGACTTTCTGCACCTCCTATTTGGGTATACTGAGTTTTGTATCTCTGTAATTATGGATCCAAAGGCCTTGAACCTAGACTGCTCACAAGAGTTCCTCTGTATCCTAGCTATGCCCCCACTGCAGCATGCAGAGGGTGAAGTCACTCTGGTATATATAAGTGCCTTCACCAGTCTTTTGTTTGTAGAGAATGCACATTCACAATATTTATGCCAGTTCATTGTGGTATATAGAGATACAAGACTGTAATGCCTTTTGTTTTCTATGTCCTATGTCTTTAAATTTCTCTTTGGGTTGCAAGTTCAGCAGCCATTTTGTTCTCAGGGTTAATGCAGCCTGTGAAAAAGGATACATGCACATAAAGTGGTCTCTCTCTAATTCTCATCATAATTGTATTTGTGTTCTCTATTGTTTTATTTTTTCAATCTAGACTGCAAGGACGTATTTTGCTCTTAAAGTGCAAACATACCACTACAAGATATTTAAACAACATAAGAAAATCACATACAAAGTATTATTTAAATGGTATGATTTTGATTTAAAGCAGAAGTGATGTATGACTGTACTGAAAAAAACTTTCATGTAGGCCACAATGCTGCAACTGCATGCACCCAACCACAGCTCTGCATCCCAGAAAGGCAAACTCTAAATTCTGTGCTCCACTGAAGTCAAAGGGGGTCTATATGAAAAAAGTGGTTCAGGCATGTAATAGCAACACTGAAGCTCCAACCATCAAAAGAAAGTGCCCCTGGGTATTAGCAGTACCAGTACATCAGACTTCAACATAATAATGACGGGGCGAGAAAGAATAGCTACAAATTCAAACTCAATGTTGTAAAACATCATTTTCTCTCAGATTAATGCAAGATCATCATACTATTTCATAACAAACAGTAAACAAATACAAAATTAACTTGTTTGTTAGGAATAATTAAGCTACAATTCACAACTGCCTTATATCTGTATTAACAAAGATCTGTAATATTCTGACATCATTTAAAATTAAAGAGAATCATAGATGGAAAAATGCTTCTTTTGCCAATTTCTAATTAAAAATAATTTTGAATAAAGGTCAGTCGGTGAAGGATTTATCAGAATTATTTGTTTAAGTACCCCTCCTCACCATCTTGTCACTTTTAGATAGATAACATGAACCCCCATTAGTATATAGCAATTAAGGTCAATTTACATATTTTAATTAAGAACCATCCCCTATAAAACAATTAGGGTAATAGGCATACTAACTGGATTTCATAACATTTGGACATTTTTCCAACTAGATAGACAGGAAACCTTAATTAGCATTAATTAGTGCTTATCTGCATATGTTTGATAAGGCATACCCTTGCCACAAAAGATTATTTATTCCTGAATCTGCCAAATGCTAGAGTTGCAGAGCATAAAAGGACTTTTCTTCATATTGTATGTAAATTTCTGGTAATTTTCATTTGTTTCCACATTTAAATAATTTTCCATTTTCTTTCTCTATTTCTGTATACATTGAAATATTTTGGGTAAATATGTACAGTCACAGTTACATAAATCATACCAAATAATTTTCACTAGTTAATCTATTACTATTCCCATAAGCATTCTGAATTTTAAAAAAAAATCCATTTACTATTTCTATTTTTATAGTATTCTGTCTTGTATTGCAAACATGTATTTCACTAACACCTCAGCTTCACTTTCACTAAAAATTATCCAGTGACTCCTCTGAACACAACTGAGACAAAATAGGACTACCAATCATGTGGTTAATGCAAAGATATCACGATAGTTTAGAGCTAGCGTGCAACCTATTTTCCTCTTCCTCCTCCCATCCCTTGAGCATTAGTAAATAATTTCCATTGTCTTCCTATTAAATTACTTTGCAAATGCCTGTGCTTTGACCTCAGCCTAGAAAGCTATTAAAATACAGAAATGCCACTCTCCTGCTTCAAGAGGTGGGGAAATTTCATGGGAGCTGCAGTGAAAAGAGAACCGCCCCACACCAGGGAAAGATGACTCTTAGGGTATGTCTACACTTGCAGCCTAATTCGAAATAGGGCTGCAAATGTAGGCTTTTGAAATTGCAGATCAAGCCCAGGATTTAAATATCCTTGATTTGAAGTGGGGAGGAGCTATTGTATGTCCTTCTGTAAGGGTAGGTCTATACTTGCAGCCTAATTCGAAATAGAGATACAAATGTAGGCATTTGGAATTGCAAATCAAGACCAGGATTTAAATATCCCATGCTTGATTTGAATGTTCCCAGCCGGGCGCCATTTTTTGAAATTTACAAGCTCGGAATAACTGCCCGCGTAAATACGTGGCAGTGAAACGGGAGTTCAAAATAAAGCCCTATTTCAAACTACCTGTTATTCCTCCTGCAATGAGGATTAACATGTAGTTTGAAATAGGGCTTTATTTCGAACGCCCGTTTCACTGCCGCGTGTAGACGCGGGCAGTTATTCCAGGCTTGTCAATTTCAAAAATGGCACCCAGCCGGGAAGATGCAAATCAAGCACGGGATATTTAAATCCTGGGCTTGATTTGCAATTCCAAATGCCTACATTTGTATCTCTATTTCGAATTAGGCTGCAAGTATAGACCTACCCTTACAGAAGGACATACAATAGCTCCTCCCCACTCCTTTGAATCTGGCAGACATTGGTAGTGGGGGAGAAATATGGATTGGCTCTCATTTCCTACTCCCATGATTTAACCTGGAGCAGGAGACATTTGGAATCTCTTCTAGCTCCATTCCAAAAGCTCCATCCTACCAACCCTGAACTTCACAGCTGTGCCTACACCAAGCCCGTGTTGTCAGAATGAAAAGGTGCCAGTCCAGCAAGCAAAAGCTTCTAGTCAGTAACCTGGTAGGGTATTTTCAAGCTGCAAAAAACGACATTGGCCATAGCTGGCTTGGCTCAAATGACTTGGGCTTACAGGGCTCAGGCTGCAGGACTATAACATTGTAGTGGAACCATTTGGGCTCAGGCTTTATCTTGGACCCTGAGACCTTGCAAGAGGAGTAGATCTCAGAGCCTGTGTTCAAGCCCAAATGCTATTTACATATCTTACAAGCCTGAGTCAGCTGAGACTCTGAGACCCAATGATGCAGGGCTTTTATTGCAATTTGAACATACCCACAGAAGCTTAGGCCATGATAACAGATCCTGCAGTATACCATCTTGCTAAGGATGAAAACTATATTAGCTGTAATACCTGGAGGCTTAACTTTTATTATACAACTGATTGATGTCTACCTGAACAAACTCTTTCAAAACAGGGTACCAAAAATGTGGACTGACTGGGGATATGCTCAGGCATGGTGAAGTTATAAAAAAGTGGGAACTTTATGAAGCTCAAAATCAATCTGGTTGCCCAGTGGGTCAAGGATGTATGGGAATCCATTCATTTGGAAATGACAGAAAATAATCATTTAGAAAATGCTGTATCAGCAATGCGCTTGATGGGTCAGAAGACAAACTCCATATTTGCAGATGACACACTGGAGGCTGATGAGGAATTTAAGGTTGAGGATGACACTGCTGACATCTATAATGATGATGCAGGAGCAGCTATAACTGAAACTGAGTTTAATGAACTGTTTGGTGAATAGGAGACTGATTTGGACTTTGAAGGACTTTAAGACTTTTTTAATTAAGTGCATTAGAATGATATGACACTTTAAAACATGGACTGTAATTTGGAAGGTATGCGAATATATATTCAGTTATTATAACAGGTTTCTTGTTAGATTACAGTAGAGTCCCTATAATCCGACGTAAACGGGACCGACACATGGTTGGATTACCGAATATGTCGGATGGTAGGGACTGCTGCCGGGTAAGATGCGGCCCTGACAGGAGCCCCATCAGCTGCTCCTAGAGAGCACAGGGACAGCTGCTGCTGCTGCTGCTGCTGCTGCTGCTGTCAGGGAAGAAGCAACCCCGGCAGGAGACGCATCAGCGACTCCAGGGCACAGGACGGGAGAATGGCCCCACTCGCTGCCCTGCTGCCACCAGCTGCTCCAAGAGAGTGACTGGGCAGCAAGTGGGGTCGTTGTCCCGCCCGCGCTGTATCCAACCCTGCAGCTCCAGGGGACAAAGTCCCCTGGAGCTGCAGGGTCGGATAAAGGGAGTGTCGGATTACCAGGAGACAGATATTCCGGACTCCACTGTACATTAAAATAAATGTACCAAAACTT